CTAAGCAAAAGAATGGAAATGATAATGTAAACAATAGCTATTACATTCAATATTCAGAACATGCACTAAATATAATAAGTTTACAATAATTTATATCTTACTAATTTACTTAAATAAAAATGGACACTATGAAATCATATTGTACTTACTTCAAAAAAGGATGTAGGTTATAACATTATAGTTTTATGATGACCTGCCTCTCCACTCATCAACCAGTTGTCTAATGTTACCTGTTGTTACCTGACCTGGGGTCAATCACTTGGATACAACAGATGTGATTAGCCGATAGGTTGAGGATAATGAAAATTATCAAACTATTATAATTTTAATGTAAAATATAAAATATCACCTACTATATACATAAAATAACAATCTAATTACTAGTTAATTTTAAAAGAATAAATTTGAACTCATTTCCTTGATTAATTAATTAAGGGAGATAATCATTAGGTTATTATGGACAGCTATTAATGCCAATAATAGTAATGTTACTATGGACAGCTATTAATGCCAATAATGTTTTATACTAAATTAACAATCAGTTATATTTACCATGTTACATGGTCAAGTCAAGATACATCCACCTTATAAACTTGGTATCTAGTGTAAGATTGTTATTTCAGTTGTGATGGAAACTAACTGGTTGAAAACTAAACAACTCCTTCAATAAACAAGATTATAGGGGTTAATATTCTGAAAGTCCGCAAATTTGATCTTCATTTTACGTTAATGCATACAAACACCATTTTAATGAAAATCGGGTAGAAACTATGGATTCTTGAGTGACTATAAGGAAATGGGAATAGACAGACCTGAAAGCCCACAATACACATCCACATAGATGTCATATATAAAAATCTGGAAAATTATAAGCATGAATCTTAACACCATTGAAATTGTCTTTGATCTTAGGCGAAAATAAAGTTTATTATGATTATATTTTAAGTAGATAGGCACTTCAAAAATAAAGCAGAAAAGTTGACTGAATTATAGAATAAAAAACAAGCAGTGTCAAATAAATAGAAATATTGAAAGATATAAAACTCTATGCCATGGGTGCATTTGATTCTTTTTCAATTTCATTGAACAATTTTTTATTTGTTGGCAGATTCTACAGATTTTAGGTTCACATACAAACAAACCTTACAATTTAAAAGTTTACAAAAACAATAACCTAATGTTAAAGTGGATGGAAAAAGAATTCAAAAGAGCCAGTTGAGTTAGTTTGTTTAATGTCTACCACTGATTGAATTTTATCTCTAAATGTACCTCTTTCCAATTTTTTCAAAACAGCACAAACAACAATCCATCTCATTGAAGTCAGCTTCTAAAATATAA